AGGCAGCAAGGCTTCACCTGGGCAGACTTTGCAAATTTAGAGCTCTTTTTCCCCAGGAAATAGAACAACAGCCTTTCCACATTCCTCAAATTATTTGGTGCAAGAGATAAATGACCTAATAATAATAATAATAATAATTTTATTTTGCCTGTTTCCTGTTGTTTCATCTGGAGTGGACTCTTTGTTTCTTTCTTGGGCCGAATCTGCACTGCAGAAATGAAGCAGTTTGGCCCTGCTTTAACTACCATGGATCCAATAGTATTAAAAATTTAAAAAATATTAAATTTAAAAATATTAAAATTTAAAATGCGTGGTTTTATATACTTGGTGGGAGATAGTAAGGAGGAGGAGGAAAAGAGAAAGAAAAAGAAAGAAGAAAAATGTCGTGGAGTCGTTGGATTTAAATTCTGCGAATGGGACTTTTGTGAGACATATTATTAGCCTTCTCTGGTGCCACAATAAACTACAATTTTCCCAGGATTCCCTAGCACTGAGCCAGGGAAGTTAAAGCGGTGGTGCTGGTCTCAACCTGGATTATCTCTGCAGTGTGTTTTGGACATGTTTGCAGGAACTGAAGTAAGCTGAGGGCAAAGCGGGAGGAGGAAGGAGAAACCGGGACATTTTAAACACAGCTGGAACAGTGGGATGGGAGTGGATTAATCGGGATTTTTCCTGCCAAATAGACAAGTCGGAATGATTTTTGCAAGACTGGGAGGCCTTTTCTCTGTCTCCTGGCCCAGAACCAGGTCCAGTACTGCAACCTCCTATTCTTTTGAGAGGCATTGATCTACTCTGTGCCATAAATTCCAAGAGATTCATTAAGTCTTCCTTGATTTTTCCCTTGGGAGGTTTTGTGGCATTTTCTTGGCCCAGGGCAGACACTGGGAAAGGGCCAGAACTGGACTAAATCTGGAGGTCAATCGAGGCAGGAGTCAGGCTGCAGCCTGCAAACCCTTCCTGGACTACACCTCCCATCATCCTTCCACTTTGGAGATGCAGGGACAAGGCTGCTGGGACCGACAGTCCAACATCTGTCAGTCTTCACGGTTCCTACTCTTGTTCTAGAATCTAGAGGAAGGGGCTATTCCAGAAACAAACCCAGAGGTTTAAATGCCCACTTAATGGGGTTCTAGGCTGCATCCGCACTGCAGAAATAACCCAGTTCGATGCTGCTTTAACTGCCATGGAATCCTGGGATTTGTAGTTGTTGTGGCATGACAAGAAAGCTCTTAGGCTGCATCT